TCTCATTGTTTCTCTTTAAAAGTATTCTTCTCTGGTTACTTGACAAATATTCACTCGGTCTCTGATTTTCAGGAATTTGACTATGTTGTTCCAAAGAATGTTTTTCTTTAGGTTTTCCTGCAGGAGGGCTCACTGCTTCTTGGATCATCAGTGGATGCTGTTTGTCAGTTTTGAAAATTCTTGGCTACTAGATCTTCAGCTATTTCTTTTGTCCCGTTTACCCCTTCTCTCTTTCTGAAATACCAATTACATGTATATTAAACCTTTTGAGAATGCCTTCTATTCCCTCTTCTGTTCTTTCCATACTTGCTACTGAGTTTCAGTCTGGATGCTTACTACTGTACTGTCTTTAAATCCATTGATCCCCTTCCCTGCAATGTTTAATCTCTTAACCCTATCAGATGAGCTTTTATTTCAGATATCATATTTTTGAGTCCCTGAATATCCATGATTGTTTTTTAAAGTATAATTAACATATGGTGTTTCATTAATTGCAGGTATACATTGATTTGACAAATCTACACAGTACTCAACGCTCACCGTGATAAGTACAGTCATCAACTGTCACCATACATTACTTAAATATCATTGACTATACTCCCTACGCTTCTAATCTCCAAGACTATTTTTTTTTTACAACTGAAATTTGTACTTCTTAATCTCCCTTTTCCATTTCACACATCCCCTACCCACCACCCTTCCAGCAACCACCACTTTGTTCTCTATATTTAAGAGTCTGGTTGTTTGCAGCACTTCTTTAAAAAGTCAAGATATGGAAGCAAACCATGTGTCCACTGATAGATAGATAAATGAATAAAGATGATGTAGTATATTGGGACTACACCAAAATAAAAAGCTTTTGCAGTGAAGAAGACCATCAACAAAATGACAGGAAACCTGCTAACTGGGAGAAGATATTTGCAAATGACATATAATATAGGGGTTAATATAGAAAATATATAAAGAACTCTTACAACTCCACACAAAAAGACAAATAACCTGATTTTAAAAATGGGCAGAGGACTTGAACAGACATTTTTCCAAAGATGACATACAGATGGCCAACACATACATGAAAAGATGCTCAACCTCACTAATCATCAGGAAAATGCAAATCAAAGCCATAATGAGATATCACCTTACAGCTATCAAAATGACTAGAAGCAAAAAGACAAGAAATAAGTGCTGGCAAGGATGTGGAGAAAAAAGAATCCTTTTGCACTGCTGGTGGGAATGCAACTGATGCAGCCACTGTGGAAAACAGTATGGAGGTCCCTCATAAAATTAACAGAAATACCACATAATCTAGTAATTCCACTATTGGGTATTTACCTAAAGAAAACAAATGGCTAATTCAAAAAGATATATGCACCTCTATGTTTATTCCAGCATTATTTACAATAGCCAAGATATGGAAGCAGCACAAATGTCACTGAAGAAGATGTGGTATATATACAATGGAATATCACTCAGTCATAAAAAAGGAGACCTTGCCATTTGCAAAACCTGGAAGCACCTGGAGGGTATTATGCTAAGTGAAATAGTCAGACAAAGACAAATACTGTAGGATTTCACTTCCAGGTAGAATCTTAAAAAACAAAACAAACAAAAACCAGAAACTGACCCCTAAATATAGAGAACTGATGATTGCCAGAGGGGAAGTAGGGGGAAGAATGGGCAAAACAGTTGAAGGGGAGTGGGAGATAGAGAATTCCAATTATGGAATAAGTCATGTGGACAAAAGGTACAGCATGAGAAAAGTCAATGATAATGAAATAGTGTTATATGGTGACAGATGGTAGCTGCACTAGTGGTGAGGACAGCATAATGTATAGACTTGTCGAATCACTATGTTGTACACCTGAAACTAATGTTAACATTGTATGTCAAGTGTACTTCAAAAGAAAAATGTTTAAAAAAAATGAATGGGGGGGGGCACCAGGGTGGCTAAGTTCTTCAAGTTCCTGACTCTTGGTTTTGGCTCACAGGGTCACAGGATGGAGCCATGCTTTGTGGCAGTGCAGAGTCAGCTTAAGATTCTTGCCCCTTCCCTCCCCCTTTGTTCTCCCAGCCCCCACCCTGCCCCTGCACTCTCTCTGAATAAATAAATAAACAAAATCTTAAAAAAAAGATGATATGGTACATATGTATATATACACATACATATATACATACATACCCAATGGAACACCTATATACATATATGTACATACACAATAGAATACATATATACATACACAATGGAATATTATTCAGCCATAAAAAAAATGAGATCTTGCCATTTGCAAAACCTGGATGGACCTAAGGGGTATTATGGTAAATAAAGTAAGTCAGACAAAGACAAATGACTACTTGATTGACTTTGATTCTAATTTTGATTCTATTTCCTAGTAAAATTTTATATCTTCATTTTCCCTTTTCTGCTCTTAAAATATAATACATTATTTAAAAATATTTGTTTATAAATTCTAATAAAAGGACCATCTAACGAACTGCTGTTATTTTTCCTCATGATTATTAGCTACATATTCCTGCCTCTCCATGTTACTAGCAACATATGCCTCTCTGTTTCCTCAGTAACTTAACCATTTTTCTCTACTTATTGTACTGGGAATGTTAGCCTGCTGTGACTCAGTATCGCTTTCTTGGAAGTAAAAGTCTTCCTTTCCTCCTGGGATTTCTTTTCTTTCATTGTGGGAATACTAAGCTATCATTGTTTCTATTTATTGAGAAACTGCCTGACCAACGGTAGATGTTATTGGTTGATTCTGTTCTTAATTTCATTTTTTAAAAACATTTATTTATTTGAGAGAGAATGCATGAGTGGAAGGGGCAGAGGAAGGAGGAGAAAGAATCTCAAGAAGACTTTGAGCTGAGCCATACATGGGGCTTAATCTCACAACACTGAGATCATGACCTGAGTCAAAACCAAGTTGGACACTTAATTGACTGTGACACCCAGGTGCCCCCTTAATTTCATTTTTATCATCAGAAGATTACATAAGCACCTGAGCTGCTCAAAAGTCATCCAGCCATTTCACCTGTTGAGAATGAACAAGATAATCCTCTATAAGGCCAGTATCAATAGCACAAAGCCAGAATAAAAATAATTTTTACCCACAGAAATTCTTAGGAATACACATGCACACAAAACCTGTGCTATAGTAGAAAGAGCCAGAATTTGAAGAAAGAAAACCTAGTCTAAACCTCATCTCTGTCAATTTACTAGGACAATGACCTTAGACAAATAATTATTCTACTTTGATTTTCAATTCATTAAGTTGCTGTGACGACAAAACAATATATTTTAAAAACTTCTGTGAATTATAAACACATTATAAAATGCCTTATTATCTAGTTTCTATATCTACAAAGATAATAAATTGAATAAACATGGGGATGTGGATGTAATAGATACTGATAAAAACTGACAACATTATATCAAAAGAAGAGTCAGAAACTATTTTTTTTTTAATTTTATTCATTTATTTGACAGAGAGAGAGAGATCACAAGTAGGCAGAGAGGCAGGCAGAGAGAGGGGAGAACAGGCTCCCTGCTGAGTGGAAAGCCCAATGTGGGGCTCGATCTCAGGACCTTGAGATCATGACCTGAGCCGAAGGCAGAGACTTAACCCACTGAGCCACCCACGTGCCCCTCAAGACCTATTTTAAAAGCACCACTTAGAGCTAAGGGTGAGTTAGTTAATACAGGTGTAACAAGCCCTTACATATTTCAGTAGACCCTGAAGCTTTTACTCTACCTTGACATGGCATGATAATTGGTTATTTATGATAAGACACTTGAATTTGAAAGTAATTTATATCCTATAATATTACTATTAAGATAGGGGACTATCTAATAAACTTAGGAAAAACTGTAATCAAAAATGTCTAAAATTGGGGCACCTGGGCAGCTCAGTTAGCTAAGAAGCTAACTCGTGGTTTCAGCTGAGGTCATGATCTCAGGGTCTGCGCTCAATAAGGGCTCTGCTTGAAGATTCCCTCTCCCTCTCCTTCTGCCTCCCCTACCGCCCATGGCTTACACCGACGCTTTCTCTCAAATAAATAAATTTTTAAAAAATGACTAAAATTCCAGTTGGTTGATACACATCTAGATTAGTTTTTACTTAGGAGCCAAGGGTTTTATATCATGTGATCTTAGGATGATAAAGTTTGTGAATAAAATGAAGAATCTGCATCACTGACTCACTTTTAGAAATGAAAAACTTTGTAAAAAGTATGATTTTTCACAAGTGAGAAGAAAAAGATGAATTGACTGTGGTTAAAAACAATTATGGGAGAGGGTGAAATCAACATACTGGGAGTGCGAAAAGCAAATGAAAAAACAAGAGGACTACATGAAGGAAACGCCAGAGAGGACATGTGGCACATGTTTCTGAAAACAAGGATCACCTGAAGGAATGCTGAAGAACGGGAGAGCAGGGTTGTGAAGCAGTTAATACACTAAGCTTTAGTGATGTTTATAAAAACTAATACAGGATTATAGTATAAGTGAAATAAAACTGGACTAAGAATAGCAGTAAAAGTGTATTTACGGATGAGTTAAGGAGACTACTAGAGAGCTGATTACAGAAACAGTCTTAATAAACCAATGTTATCCAAGAGAAAACAAGATTTCAGAAAGTAATAGATGTAGGAAATCAAGAACCAAAATGAAAAACAGGTACACAGTCTAATATAAAAGAAGAAAATCAGTATTTTGCAGTTCCTGAAATGGAGATAGTACCAGGATCTTTTTCGTAAGTCCTGTTATGACTGTTCAGTTACAATTTCCCTAGAATTTAAATGTGTTAGGCTAAAACTAAGAGTTATTTTATCTTGTATTTAAAGTCAACACAAGAAAGGCAAAAGTGGTCTAATTTTCATGTGCATGAGTGTTATTATTTGCTAAGCTGAAGGCATATCAAGTTCTGAAATAGTAATATTTGTAAAGACAATTTTAAAAATAATTTAGTAAGTTTATGAATAAACCACTATACCTTAGCAAGTGATTTTACAATAGGATTCTCCATAATCCCCTTGAGGAAAATTAGGTCTATTTCTTCTGCTCCTGTAGATGAGGGCAGCTCCGTAAGGTTATCCAACACTTGCTGCATTGCTGCTGAGATAAAAGCAATAAAAATAGTAATAATGATAAAAAAACCCCAAACCCTTAAATTCCAAGCCATTATGAAATACAATATAAAATTATAAAATATTTGATATATTTAAAATAATTCAAATAAAAAGACATTAACAAAACTCTTTTGAAAAGTCATGTTTTAATATAAATCTTTTTTTAAAAATACTTTATTTATTTGACAGACAGAGATCACAGGTAGGCAGAGAGGCAGGCAGAGAGAGAGAGAGAGGGAGGAGGAAGCAGGCTCTCCACTGAGCAGAGAACCCGATGCGGGGCTCAATCCCAGGACCCTGAGATCATGACCTGAGCTGAAGGCAGAGGCTTTAACCCACTGAGCCACCCGGGTGCCCCAAAAAGTCATGTTTTAAAAAACAATTGTTAAATGGTAAGTTTCAAACTGAATTCCCGTGAATTAGGAGGACACATTTTTATACACAATTTGGGCTTTATTAGACTACCTTATACATACTTACCACTTTACACTTGCTTTATATTTTTTAAATTTAAAGCACTACACAAAAAGAAATACAAAATTTTAATAGACCTATAAAAAAGTAAAGAGAATGAATTAGTAATCAACAAACTTCCCAGAAGCCCAGAACCAGATGGTTTCACTGATAAATTCTATCAAACTTTAAAGAGGAATTAAAACCAATACTTCACAAACTCTTCAAAAAAAAAAAAAATAGAGGAGGGAATACTTTCCAATTATTCTATGAGATCCTGATAATAAACCCACAAGAAGGTATCACAAGAAAATTATAGCCAATATCCTTTATAAATACAGATGCAAAAATATTTAATAAAATACTGAAAAACTGAATCCAGCCACATATGAAAAGGGTTGTACACAATGACCAAGTACAGCTTATCTCAGGAATACAAGAATGAAAATCAATCAGTGTACAATACTGTATTAATAGAACATAAAACCTAAACAACTACATGGTATCTCAATGGGAACAGAAAAAGCATTCAACAGAATTGAAACTCTTTTCATGATAAAAACATTCAACAAACTAAGAATGGAAGGGAAATTTCCTAAACTTGGTGAAAGGTATCTATGAAGAATCTATAACCAATATCATATTTAATGATAAAAGACTAGACACCTTTCCACAAGATCAGGAACAAGGCAAGGATGTCTACTCTTGCCACTTCTACTCAACATCATAGTGGAGATTCTAGCCAAGGGAGTTATGCAAGAAATAAAAGCACTGGAAAGGAATAAGTAAAACTATCTCATTTTGCAAATGATATGACCTTGTATATAGAAAATCCTAAAAATACAAAAAAAAATTATTAGAATAAATGAGTTCAGAAAGGTTACAGGATACAAGATGAAAATACAAAAATCGAACATATTTCTAAATACTAACTGAATAATTTGAAAGTGAAATTTATGAGAACATTCTTTTTACAACAGCATCAAAAACAATTAGGAATAAATGCAACATAAGAAGGGTAAGATTTGTACACTGAAACTATAAAAATCATCGAAAGAATTAAAGAGAACTAAAATAAATAGAAAGCGGGGCACCTGGGTGGCTCAGTAGGTTAAGCCTCTGCCTTTGGCTTAGGTCATGATCCCAGGGTCCTGGGATCAAGCACCCCCATCAGGCTCTCTGTTCAGTGGGGAGCCTGCTTCCCCCTCTCTCTCTGCCTGCCTCCTCTGCCTTCTTGTGATCTCTCTCTCTGTCAAATAAAGGAATAAAATCTTAAAAAAAAAAAAAAAAAAGGAAGGAAGGAAGAAAGATATCCTACCTTCATGGATTGGAAGACTTACTATTGTTAACACGGCAACACTTCCCAAATTGATCTACAAATTTAATGTAATCCCTGTCAAAATCTCTACTGCCCTCTCCCCCTTTTTTGCAGAAATTGAGAAGCTGATGTTAAAATTCATATGGAAAATGCAGTGGACCCAGAATAGGCAAAAGATCTTCAAAGAGAACAAAGTTAGAAGACTCAAACTTTATTTCAAACCTGACTAAAAACTTCAGTAATCAAGACTGTGGTACCAGCATACACAGAGACATAAATCTTAAGAGTCCAGGGCCATGTGGGTGGCTCAGTTGGTTAAGCATCTGACTCTTGTCAGGTCATGATCTCATCATCATAGGATTGAGCCCCACATCAGGCTCCACACTCAGCAGGGAGTCTGCTTGAAGAGTCTCTCCCTCTGCCCCTCCTGACTCAAATAAATCTTAAAATAAAAAACAAAAAACAACTTACAGACCAGAAATAAATCTATATATTTAAGGTCAAATAACTTTCAACAAGGGTGGCAAGACAATTCAACAGAGCAAAGAATAGTCTTTTCAACAAATGGAACTGGGACAACAGAATATGAATATGCAAGAGAGTGAAGCTAGACTCCTACTGCATTCAATATCATAATCTTAATATTATTCAGATTAATTTTATTGGTGTTGTCTCTTCTTGATGTTTCTTTGGTATAAGTCTATTAAAATTGTGCAGTTTTTAGTATGTTTTAATTTTTATTAAAATAAAACATAAGCATTGTTAAAAGTCAGACTGTACTCACTAACTGGCTTATAACAAAATATAGCAGTTCTCTGCTCCATACTGTCCTCCTCCCTCCCAACTTACACTATTCTGTAGAAGTAACTACTTTGAATTTGCTATAGTTTCATTTAATAACATCTGTATTTCTGTATAATATGCTAATATTGCTTCTTTTTCTTTTACCCATTTTAGACAGTATCTATTTTCTGCTAGAATACTTGAGGGTTAGGCTTTTACCTTCCTCTATCTCCATTAGGGCAATTTCTAATAAAGTCACCATAGGGGAATCCTACACATTTTCCCCCCAAATGTTCCAACAAACTTTTCACATTTCTGTAATTTTTCCAAATGCTCAAGAATTTTTCCAACACTCTATCAGACCTATTATTCCCTGACTTCAAGTCCTGAACTCCAGTCCAAAGTATTCTTGTCTTGTACTTTGATCTGGACAGTTCATCTCTAGACCTCCTATTCACTCTGTGTAAAATGAGTGACAATTCTGAGAGATGTGAATGGGAGAAAAATGTGCTCTTAAAACAAGGAGAAGGAAAACCTATACTCGGCTAAAATGAAGAAAGGAAACCTAGGAAATAATAAAAACAAAGCCTATTTCATACTTTTGTTTGGGGCCCAATGTGTACCTTTCAGCAGGTAGAGAACAATAGAATCAATAATCTTCAGAAGTATTTTTATCCTGTAACTAGTTAGCTCTACTTCTCATGATGACTTTTTTCTTTCCTTTGATGTTCTATATCTGTTTTTTTTTTTAATTTTTAACTTTCATTATGAAAAATTCCAAACATTTCTAAAAGGGAGGCAAAATAATATAACGAACCCAATAACTATCAGCTCTAACAACTAGCAACTCATGGCAAATCTTGTTTCATACCCCTATATATTCTCTACTCTATATAACTTTGAAGCAAATCCCAGATACTACATTTCAGTATTTATGTCTAAAATATCAGGGCTTGGGGCGCCTGGGTGGCTCAGTGGGTTAAAGCCTCTGCCTTCGGCTCAGGTCATGATCCCAGCGTCCTGGGATCGAGCCCCGCATCGGGCTCTCTGCTCAGCAGGGAGCCTGCTTTCTCCTCTCTCTCTCTCTGCCTGCCTCTCTGCCTACTCGTGATCTGTCTGTCAAATAAACAAATAAAATCTTAAAAAAATAAAATAAGATAAAATAAAATATCAGGGCTCTTTTTAAACAATGTAACCAAAATACTGTTAGCACACCTAACAAAATAACAATAATGTAATATCACCAAATTGTTATACTGAAAATCTTTTTAAAATGCACCTTCCAAATATATATTGGTTCTTGAGATACTGAAATTTTTATATTGGTGCTTAATTAAGTGGGAAGAAAAGTGGTGGAGGTTGTAAAATATACCCTTGGTTATTTTAAAGATCTTCATAAGTTCTTGATTCTTGATTATATGAAATTTAATTAAACACTGGTAAGTCTGCCAAATATCCCATGTTCTGGAAATGGGATCTTGAATATTATAAAGTTGCCACGCATTCCCAAACTAATTGGTACATTTAATGGCGTTCTAATCAAAATACAATAGAACCTTCCACATGTTTTCAGGCCAGGTCTGGCTTGTTCTTCCCCCCATTAAGGAAATGTCCAGGGAGCTCCAAGAAACCTGGGCTGGGAGGCAGGGGAGCAGGTAAAACCAGTGAGGTTCTGCACAGGTCGGGGAGGTTACAGCATCTGGAAGTAAGTGGCTGTCCAAGGGCAACGCTGTGCTGGTAAATGTCCACAGGAATCTGGTATATCCACTGCTATTTAGTTTAAGGAAAAAGCAAATTACGTGTTTTACAAGGAAATCTTCAATGGATCCTCATGTCCCTTTGGGACCCATGCCCCCAAGACTTCAAAGAGCAGACTGGTATTTAAGTATTCAAGTTTTAGGATATCCGGTAAAACCCTCAGCCCCTTGGGGATGGTGATGCAAAGTGGCCAGAGCTGAAAATCAGAATAGTTACAACTGTCTTTCTAGGATGAAAGTTCTAGATGTCATCCATGCCCCTGAGATCCCATTTTCAGCTGAGGATGGCATCCCTGTTTCTTTATGGGCAAGAACTTCCACCCCTAGTTGCTAGATCTTTGAGTCACTAGTACTCCTTTCAAGGGGTACTCAAAGTTTTCACTATGCCCGATCCCTTCTGGATGGCTGAGATGGCCCAGTATGAGACAGAAGTCTATAGCCAGACAGAGTACTGTTCCTATCAGGAGATCCTGACCAAGCTGGCCACCATGGCCAATGCACAGAGGGGGAGCTCTCAGCAACAACAGTCAGCAGCTGGAGACCTAAGGCAATCTCCTAAAGTCTCCCTAACAACCATCAGGTAATACACCCCCCACTCCAGTTAGAAGAGTAAGCATGCCAAGCACCTCTTTGAAGAGTTTTAAGGACACTGTAACAAACTGTGGAGTACGCTCT